ACTGCACATCAAGAAACTCACATGCTTACTGATAACTACATCGTCATGAACAAGCAAGTTATTTGTACAAAGAAGACAAAAATATTTCCCTCCTCTCGGTAAATATTTTTGCCCCTTTTAAAATGGTCAGTAACTTTCTAGACAGAAAAGTATGTTATCATACCTGCCGTACACTCTTCTTCTGAGGTTTGCATTGTTGGGTAAAAAAATATATGAAACACTTTGGCTTCAGCTTTATCTTCCAGACTCTTATGTACCTTCTCTCAATACAAGCAAAGGGCAGTATTGTGTTTGAGATGCATCACCTGGGTTCAAAATGGAGGGGAGCAATCTGTATTTATCCCACACCTCCTCCGACAGAGCGATGAAGGGTTTGTTTTCAAAAGCAGTTTCTGATTTTGCTGTGCTTGATGCATGTGCCCAGTTCGATCAGCCTGAGGTCACATATTTAATGCCTCCAGCTCCAGCTGAGGTCCATGAGATCTACAGTTCTTCCTACACACAAGTCAAGGTGAGGATGCTCTAAGAGCAATCAGGAATGTCATTTCCCCAAGTCAGAAGCCATGTTTGAAAGTCAAGGTTTTACTCTGTGATTATTCAAAATATTTAATTTAGGTGCCTTGAGACTTAACTGGCTGTAAGAAGCCTAGGGCTCCTGTGGGCCAAGTGAGAAGCTTAAAGGCTGGCAGTGTGAATTTGTAATCTCTGTAGAACAGGATATCATCTCAGCACACAAATCCACCCAGAGGATGAACCCTGGTGTGCTTTGGAAGTGCTCATGTTTACACTGAAATAAATATATAGAAAAAGCAGAAATTGGCTTTGCTGATCCTCTGATTATGCAAGCAACATATGTAGAGTGTTATGTGAGAAATTTCCCCACAGAAAATTTCATTGACTAGATACCTATCTAAACAGACCCAGAAGTAATGGCTTCATGATGTGAGTAAGGAGCCAAGCAGAAGATTAATATATCAATATTAGGAACCTGATTTTTGTTCTTTTTAGATTAGTTCCATCCAAGAGCATTTCTCTTGAAACTGATGAATTTGCCATCATTAAATTCTTTCAGTGGAAATAAAATCAGACTCTCTAAGAGAGAATAGTCTTCTCCGTTTCCGATGCAAGTACGTGGGCAATAGATATTGAGGGTTAGGAAGAGCTTAAGTTCAGTTTAATCCTTTTATTGAGTTATTACATGTTACAGTGAGCTTGATGTCATTGTGGGATATCATCCAAGACTAATAATAATCATGATACTATCACATGAAGGTTGGCTTTTATCCTTATTGCAGCCAAGTGCAGCAGCCAGGAGGAGAGTGAAGAGAGAGGAGACTTTCATAGCTTTCTTCCTGTCCACGTTTTGCAGAGACATTCATAGAGAAGTTGGTCTTCTGCAACAAAGAGATGCTTTGGTTGAGAGTCAAAGGAAAAAAAAATGGTGACATTGGTGCTATAACTCTCTCAGATCTCCTCCTGATGTGGGATTTACAAAGGTTATCACGGACCGTGGAATAATTTCAAAGGGTTTTGTTATTTTTGTTACTGCTATAACCCGGGCTCAGTAGAGTAAGCCTTCTGAATAGAGGAGGATTCCTCTAGCCTTAAGCTATTCATTCTAGTTGTGAAAACAGAAGAGAATGTGACCTACCGATATCTCCCTTCCAGAGAATCATGAAGTCTCTTGCAGCATCTAAAGAAAATCAGCTGCTTGTGGGGATAAAAAGATTACAGATGAATTTACCACTGGTAAGCCCCAGCTTTCGTTTTTTAAAATGGTGTATAATTCCCAGCAGATGGTCTTTACGTTCTCTAAGTCAAACATCATCTGAAGCTCTGGCTAGGCAAGATTTGGGTGCTTCAAAGCATAAATGTACAGACTCAAAACTCAGTCCATAGGGAAACAAAGCCCACCCTCAGGCCACTATTCCCTGGGAGCCCTGCCTTCCGACCAGCTAATTCAGATCTACTTGTGGGTGATGCTGAGTACACCTAAAGCCCCAGGTAACACACAGGAGCTAAGATCAAGCTTTTCAAACACTGATCACAAAAAGATTGCAAGCAAAGTCAGGCTGCATTACAGTGCAGTGCAGTGTGCCCTCTTTAAAATGTTAATCCCTTCACCTACCCCTGACCAGATCTCTCTCATCAATTGGTTTCCTCATTACACAGCCTGCAAGCAGATCATCTTCTTGTCTTGAATGGTAAGACTGATGCAGAAAAGGTTTTCTGCTGCTGGTTCCAGTCTGAGCAGCTCCTTTTTGGAATCGCTTCTGAAAATGTATTCACAGCTTCAAGACTACACCTGCTCAGGAGATGCCTGTGGCAGTCAGTAGGGAATGTGACTAATTAAATAGGAACAGATTTTAAAAGATTGCTTCACCCAAGAAGCGAAAGCTAATAATTATATGGAACAAGATGATTACCTGGAACAAGATGATAAAACTGCTAATGTTCCTGTTTATAATATGACTGTGAAACTTCTCTGCTAAAACTGGGCTGCAGTGCATTACAGTTTACGGTCCGATAATACAGAAAGTAATGCTGCCAGTATTCTTTCAGAATCATACTTTTCTTCAAATGAAATCCCACATGGAACTGCCCCGTCCAAATAACTCCTACACCTTTTTGGATGATTATCTTCACCTGGGAAGGAGGAAGGCTTTGGCACAGATCTGCTTTTGCTTCATGTGTCAAATGTATCTGAGAGCTTCGATAGATGTTGAAGAATTGGTCCCTTCTTCCCGGGAGGAAAAGGTGTAACATCTCTGTGAGATGGCAGGCCATAGTAATGGGCAGATCTGTGCTTCTGTGAGTTGGAAAGGAGGGCACACCGCTGTGTGCACACCTTCTAAAACTGCCAGAGCTCTTTTGTTCCCTGTCAGCTGGGGCTGTGATTGCAGGGTGTGCCTGCTCCACGCACACAGCCATTACACAAGCAAATATAGCAGTTAAAATGTTGATATTTCATCTGTCACTGCAGAGCTGATTCCTCTGACCTCTCTGTGGCAACGTCCCAAGTGCTGTGCAGGTTCAACCCTGCTCTCCACCCAGCCTTTGTGCTTTTTTATTGATATACACATTTCTCCTATTTTTCTATATTTCTTTTAAAGAAGCCTGAGTTTCTGAGTTATTTATTTCTGGAGAAATAAATAGCAGGTTACAGAAGGTGTCAATGTGTCGTACCACGAGTACAGTTCAGTGCAAGTGCTGTCCAGACTCAACCACTATTTTACAGATGGCCCTCTACAGCACATTAAATTACTGGTTGTCTCAAAACAAACTCTTCCTCCTGCTTTAGTCTCCCACATCTTCTCAGAAGCAATTTATAATGACCTTTGCAGGTTTGCTTCAAAAATGTGAGTTCTTTGTTGGCATCTGAAGGCCAATGTGGCCTCGATGCTGTACTCCACACCCATGTGAAACTCCCAACCTGAACCTCAGCAGCTGGGGTCAGCATCACCAGGGCTGCCACACACCACCCAGGCCTTCGGAATTGCTTTGATTCTTTCAGTCCCTGTGAGACAGTTCACATCCATAGAACGGTATATGACTTGAAAAGGCTTGTTGGATCAGGACTTAATTTTACCTGAGACAGGCTGGGACATTCCTAGATGGTCTGCAGTGTGTTTATTGGGCTGAGCGAGCTATTTCAATTTTCAAAAGCTTCTATAAGTAACGGGTCCACCTTAATTGTTGCTTGTTTTTAACCATTTGTCCAACACCTCCAGCCAATTGGCAGGATTAATAGGTTAGTGATGCTATATTAATTAAAATCATCAAATTGCTCTGAAGGAAGGAAGAGCTAATTAACTACGGAGCATTTATACACTAACCAAGAGAGAACCCAAGGGAAAAAGTCTCCAGTATAATTAAAAGCGAAGACATTTTTCTTCACTCTACTGTCTCCCCATTGTCACAGTCACTAATGACTTTTGTGTGGCTTTCTGAAAGGTTTTCTGATCTGTGCATAAAAATACCTAGAGGTAATTTGTATTGTTTTTTTCTTTCCCAATTTTTTTTTTTTTTTTTTTTTTTTTTTTCCTGGTAATACTTTTGATGCAAGAAGTAGACTTTCCACTTTCTTTCGCTATTCTGAAATTCTGGTGAAGAAGCTTCTTTCCTACATGCAGGTTAAGGCCCAAACCCAGCCGTCAGCAATTCTGGCATGGCACGGTACAAGAATGGGGCATGCCACAGCAACCCTTTCCACGGTGCACTTTCCCTTCCTACTGTACATCCCGCATTTTTCCTCTGAATGATAGCTGAGATCACTGCCCTCTGAGTAAAGAATTTCCTCCTAACATCTAATCTACATTTCCCCTCTTTTAGTTTAGGCCATTCCCCCTTGTGCTATCACTATCAGACCACATAAAAAGTCAGTCCCCTTCCTGCTTGTAAGTTCCTTTCAAGCACTGGAATGTTGCAGTGAGGTCTCCCCAGAGCCTTCTCTTTCCCTCCTCTCTGTCTTTCTCAGGAGACATTACACCAAGCACTCCAATCTCTGGATGAATAATCTCGTTATTTTCCTGAGAAAACATTTTGCCAAGCCTTGCCCAGACATGTTTTCAGTAGATGGGAGCTGATAACACGTGGAGGAGGGTGTGGGATGGCCCTTCTCTGTGCAGCCTCTCGACATTAATCACTGCATCCATGACAAAAAGTGTTGATGGAATAGGTTTAGACAGGCTTTTGGGCTAGAACAAACCCAATGTGGCACCGGCTCAACCAGCACTAGTTTTCCTGCTGGTGGTTGCCTGCTGTGATGCAATGGAAAGCTGCGTCCCAGTGCCATTAGCTCCTGATGCAGGAGGGTAAGACAGGCAGGGCAGCCCCCAGCCACACACACCTCCCTGGGATGGCACTGTAGGAAGACTGAGATTGCTGTTGTTGGTCATAGCCTTCCTCACAAAAAAGATTTTGACTTGGAGAGCTTCACATCCTTTTGCGTCTCATGCTTTGAAATCTATTAGGAGGAAAACAGTTGGTGCAGACAAGTACCTTTTTTTTGTTTGGTGAATTTCTCTTCAGGTATCGCCACAGTGTAAATAATTGAAAGCTTGCTATTTCCTCACTCCTGCTGGAACTGCTGAAAGAAAAATATTGGCAGCACATCAAAACTGTCACTGATTACAAATATCCTAAAGAGAGGGATTCACATACCACTGTTGCAGCTGCGAGGACTGGTATAGTACTTGGAAGCTGCTGGAGCAGATGGAGCAGCAGGTTTGGAACAGAAGAGTAAGTGCAAGTGTCCCCAGCTACCACCAGATTCTGCTCCCCACCACTCAGGATCCCCCAAGCTTTTTGCTCCCCTTCCTCTCCTTACATTATTTCCAGCCATGCAGGTGACCTGGAATATGGTTCCCTTAGCACTGGACAAGCTAAAGGCTCTTTTTCCTGGTAAAAGAACTTCAGTCCTTTTTGGAGAAACTTGCTGTTCTCTGAGTCAAGAAACCCCAAATCACCCTTGTTCCAGGCCTGATGTACTCACCAACTTTCCTTGGGATCTGATGATTTTTGTCTGAGGATGGAGCATTGCAGTCTTGCATTTACCATTTCTCCTGGCCTTCAGCCCAATTGGCAGATCGTCTACAGCATCCTGGCAAGAGCAGTGGACTAGGCTTGGAACTGGCACCAATTTTGCTTGGTTGGATCAGAGAGGTAGCCCATTTGCTGAAGTATCTAAAGCATGAGCTTAGCAAGGATCCATGCAAAATGAAGAAATAACCCACAGCTCACTGGGATGAGCTGTCTTGACACAAAGCTCACAAGAAATTGCTCTGCACCCTGACAAGAGGAAGGCAGCTCTTGAAAATACCTCTGCAGTGTTAATCTGCAGGGTTACAAGCTCAAACATAAGAACTTAGACAAATCCTTTGATTATATTTTCTTAAATAGTAAAATTAATTCTTAAAAGTAAATTAATTTATTGGAGTACTTACAAAATGTGTAGAAATCCACTGAAAGCAAGCCAGGGGCTAGCACAGCTCACATGGACCTTTGGTGTTGGAAGTGAAACAGACTGCACTCAGCTGTGAGCACTACAAACCCCACTGCTTGTTCTCTTTCTTCACAAGTTGCCTCCTGGGCTTCTCCAGCTTGTCAAGTCCACTGCAGTTGCATACTTAACAGCTGTACCTGAAACATGATAATTTAAACACTCAATCTGGCAAGTATCTATGCAAAAAGCTCTTGCAATATTCACCCAATTCTAGGGTGAAAAATAGCTCCATTTCCTGCAGTTCTAACAACAAATTGTATTTGTAGCAAGGTCGTACTATGGGTTACATTAGAAAAAGACAGCAGATTTACCTGCGGGAGGAAAGACAACAAAATATGTACAAATTGTAGCATCTAGAAATTCACTTTATGGTCAGTCTAAATAAGAATGGCTGCTTTTCTGTATGTATTTCAAGGAAAGATAAGGTAGAAACATATACTGTATTTAATGTTCAGTACAGTTCTGTAAGTATGGGCTAGTACTGGTTTTGAGCCTAAGGAAGCAAGTGGCATTTTCTACTTCTGTCACATTTCTGCAAGATCTGCATGATCCAAGTCTGACTGTATGGCCAGAAAATCACTCAGACTTGTGAGCCAAAAGCTAACATCCCTGACTTATTGGCACAAAGCACCTTTCCCTGCAGACACTCCACGCTGCTTCATCATTTGGCTCTTATTTTTAGCAGCTTCCAAAACTGATAAAATACATATTGTTACGAACGTTTTGGATGTACATTTTCAAGGCCTCATGACCATGAAGTCATGCTTGTGTGTGTCATTCTTTCCATTAGGGATGAGCCTGAGGTGCCGAGTTTATTTCTGAATCCAGATGGGTATTTGGAGCCTTATTTTTCATCTCGGCACATGATCAGATTCATTTACTGGCTAAAAACACATCAGGATCTGTACTTCTGAGTACTCAGTGAAAAAAAAATGCATTCAGCTTTATGTTACTACTGAATTAGGCAATCGTTCTTTTTTCCTGTGCAGAAGACATAAAGTGTGACTGTAATGAGCAATCACGAAAAGCAGAATCCCCACAGCCTTCTGAAGTTTTTAGCCTGTTCCACATCAGCAAAAGTTCAGCACCTTTTCACACTTCCTTATTTTTAGCCTCAGGATGAAGGAGAAAGTTGTCTAGACTGCATCCTTAGAGCCAATTAACTGTTCGGAGGAAATACACAGCAGGGAGAAATACAAAGATTTGGCCGGGATTCCTCTTATGTATTTTCACACCATGTCCTGAAGGATAACTCATTCCTTTGGGCATAGCACAGGCTGCTATTCTATGTTACAAAGTCATGCCAAAGTTGGGGTATTTCAATGTGTTGATACTGCCCAAGCTCTGAAGCAAGAATATGCATTTGGGACTTTGTCCTTGAACCACAAGATGCAGATCCTGAAAACATGAAAATGAATGCATGTAGTATTTCTGTGTATGCTGTACATATGCCAGCTAAGCTCTTTTTGCCCACAGCTCCAGCTGAAGATTTATTACTTGCTGCAGAGCGCTTGTTCCAGCTGCTATTCAGATCAGTCTTCTCCCTGGTTAAGAGCTGGTTAGGAAGCCTAGAGAGCACAAAGGTTTTAAAACACTTTACCAGCAGGCTGAACATTGGTCTTCTGTAAACGTGACAACATGCATCTGTAATAATGGGCAGAATACTACTTACTTACCACCAGTGTCAGAAGCTTAACAAGCAACTTAAAACGGTCTCAAGACCGTCAGAGGGATGTAGCTTATGCTAAAACAGAGGGTAAGTTGTCACAAACATCATACCTCAAACTTTATTACCCTGTAGACATGCTAGGGCAAATAGAGAAGCGTGTGTCCAAATGCTGTGGACACAAACAACTCTGGGATGGCCCAAAGGGTTTAGCAGAAGAGAGCAATACACCTTTTGCATTTGAGCTTTATTATAGCCCATACTGATACATCAAGTCTACAACTCTTCAGCCTTATAGACAAAGACATCTGCAACCACAGGCTTTCTGGCAGCACAGAGCTACACCTACAGTCCAAAACATTTCGGGAACCCTTAGGGATGCAGTCACAGCCACAACTTACTGGCAGCACACAAAAGAAATGTCTGTAGTGTGCAGACTTTCTGGCAACACAGCTGCATCCCCAGAGCCTGGCTTCCTACAAGCAGTGATATACCAATCATACCACATCCCTTAAGGCAGAGAGATGATACAGCAACACCTCACATTGCAGAGGCACACGCCTCTGGAAAGGAAAATACTTTCTTTTTTTTTTTTTCTTCCAAATATACTGCATAACAGGGGCTCTCTTATTTATGTGCCAACAGTGTTAAAAGCTATCTATGCATGAAGTGACTGCTCAAGTGTTAATAAAACACATTTAAACTACACAGCCTGTGCATTCTGCTGAGTTGTACAAACCACGAGAGCTCTCTGCTGTGATGGTTTATGTTTCCACCAAGAACCCATAATAATGAAAGCACTGACCCAGCAATCATCATTGAGAGTGCAGGCCTTCTGATTGCTCAGCTGGCTCTAGTTTCTTTCTCGAGAAGAGACCGTGTAACAAATCTGGTGAGTGGCACGCTGCATGTGAAGGGTCCTGACTGTTGGTGCTCCTGATGCTCTTCAAGACAAGGAAGACCGAAATTAAAGGAGGAGTCATTTAATAATATATAGCACATCCTGATTTGTTATTTAGGATTATAGCTAGCTGGGATTTACTTTAATCTCTGTGAAGGACCAGGTCTGTCTGGAAATGGCAGCCTTTGTGCTGTAGCTGATCTGCTGGCCATCGCATCAATCCAGAGCTTTTCTTATGGCTACTGCCTTCATCTTGAGCTCAAGAACAGTTTCAAATGGGGTCTTGACTTCCAGGCATTCCAGGTGGAGTGCGGGATTTCCACCCTGGCAAAGAAAATTGGGGAATATAAAGGAGCTTTCTGCTACCCCGTGGTTTCTGGTCTCAGCTGAGAAAGCTGGCAGTCTCCAGATTGCTGCCTGAAGCTCGCTCAAAGGAGCTCCTCTAGCAGCACATCTCTCAGGTCTCCCAGAAATGAACAGGGCAGGATATCTCTGCCACTTTCACACCACCAAATTATAAGAATTCATTACTAATAGCTTGCCAAGTAATAATCCCAAGTCTGTTAAATTTTGTCTATTATACAGCAGTAATAGATGCTTATTAACAGATGTTCATGCACATGGGCTCTGAAGAAATCCGGATTAGGATTTGGAGTTTCTTGCTCAGGCTTGTTTCCAAAAGACATAACTCAGCAAGAATTCCTTCTCTGGAGATCTTCAAAGCCCGCCTGGACACGTTCCTGTGCAACCTGCTCTAAGAAGACCTGCTTGGTTGGACCAGATGGACCCAGAGGTCCTGCCAAGCTCAGCCAGTCTGTTATTTTACATGTGAAGAATGATTCTGCCTTCTTGCTAGCTCATTGCTATAGCCCAGTGGTCACTAGTTGCATTACACGCACCAGTGAGAAGACATTTTGGCAGGATGCCTTTGGGTGAGATTGTGTGGCAGCATGCTCTTAGAGTAGATGGGGGAAGGTGGTTTTGCAGCTGATGCTCTTAAATTATCTTCAGTGGAATGAAACGGTTGGGAGAAGGTCCCATCTGTATGCAAAGGGGTGCCTAAATGACAGAAAAATTGCCCCACAGAGCTGCCAACATTGGAGATGGATAATTGTGCAGACTTGTGTGGTTACAGATGAAGGGTGTTGCTTCCCTTACGAGCCTGCATAGACATCAAGGCTGGAACCATGACCTAAGCCTTTATTGAATACATGAGACAAGTCTGGAAAAGAGGACTCTGCATGGCTGGGTCCAGCACTGCAGTGTTTATGAGAGGTTATAAAGGTGAAAATCAGGTGAATGAAAGGATACTGCTAAATGTATGGATAAACCTACATGCTGACCCATTCTTTTGGGCCTTCATTACTCCTCATTTTCTGCATGGTGTTTTTGTGATGGCACTGACTTAATTTGTCCTGTGCTAGTGGAGCTGGTAAGCTGCACTGCTCTGCAGCACAGTGAAATGCAGTCAAGAATAAGGAAAAAAGAAAATACAGTCCATATCTTTACAGAAAGCTTGTAAAACAAGTTGCCAGCATAGCTTCTATTTAATGACAGTAAAAATAAAAAAAATATAATAATGATAATAATAAAGTAAGGCTTAAGGCTGGTATCTTGGAGAGGAAATTGAAAATGAAATATTTCCAGTTTGTTGGGTTATGTCTATGTCTTGCTAGGCTATGTCAGGCTCCATTCCTACTTCAAAGTTTACTTTGATCTTTCTTTATTTACATTAGCTTTTGCCACAGTATTCACAAAGAGTTTTCAATGACTGCTCCAAGTCATGTATTGCTCCATGCTAAGACAACTTTTAAGCCTGTATTGTGATGGTGCACATTAGCTGGAATAACAATAACATCCCCAGCAATATGAAGTATTGACCCTATTCCTTTAATGCATGCATATCAGAATTTATACAGTCTCAGTGGTTGTTCCAGATAATTTGGAACAATTTCTAACCAAAACTCTTCAAAGTTCTGTGAAAGTTGCCTTACAAACCCAAACTTCAGCATGGTTTTTCCCAGAGTATGTTCACTCATCATGGTACGTAATCATAGAATCACAGAATGGTTTGGCTTGGAAGGGACCTTTAAGACCACCTCGTTCCGACCCCCTGCTATAGGCAGGGACACCTCCCTGTAGACCAGGATGCTCACAGCCCCATCCAGCCCGGCCTTGAGCTCCTCCAGGGACTGTCCTGTTGCTACATGTCCTTATAAAAAGTCCCTCCCCAGCTTTCCTTTAGGGCCCTTCAGAAGGCTGTTATCAGGTCCCCCTGAAACTTTAACCAGGCTGAAGAGCCCCAGCTTTCTCAGCCTGCCCCACAGGGGGGATGTTCCAGCCCTTTGCATAAAGGTACATAAGGAGCTAACTCACAGATTGCTTTGCCCGAGAGAGGTACATAACAATTGCACTAAGACAATTGACCAAGACAAGATCAAGCAGGGCACCAAGATAAACGGCAGAAGGTGACTATATCTCAGTTAGACTGGAAGCAAGGAAGCAGAAAACGTGCAGGGTTTTTACCTGCTTTGCCTAGCTATAAGCAACCAGCAAGCTTGAGGGCAACA